GGTATGTGTAATTTTAAAGAAACAATACTGTGATTAAATAATTGTAAATGACACACTACATTTACTGGGATTTTCCAAGAAATGGCAAATCATATCCTTTGATCAATAAGCTAATTGCAGCCAAATATTAAAAATGGGCCAGTTGGTCTCCCCTCGTTTGTGGTCTTTATGATGGTTGTAACAGTGTTTTGTGTTTATTAAGCACAAGACTAAGGCTAATGCAGCCCAGCTCCACTCCTGAACTCCCGCAGTGTCTGCATGTGCTTTTAACTACCTGACTAGCCTAATTATGGGCTTAATTGGGGCCATTTTATGCCCTTCCTGAGTTCTTCATGTGCTGGGGATCAACAAGCAGGTGAGGAAAGCAGAAAGACAGACCTGCTGCACTGCTCTCCTCCAGACCTGAAGCTCTGCAAAATTAGAAGCAAAAGGTTTGTTAGGTCGTAAAAGCTCATTACCTTATCAGACAGTGCAGCAAAGTTAAAGTGAGGCTCGTACATGTGAGGCGCCAGAGAAGAGGCCGTCTGCAGAAAAGCTTTTGCCTGAGAAAAGAAAAAAAAGGGGGAAGTGTTTTTCCAAGTCAGATTTGCTTTTTGTATTAAACAGTAGAAAACTATGTAGTTCAAGTCATTCAAATTCTAGCCCAGATAGTCTTATGCTTATACTCAAACATTTACTTTTTTCTCCCCTATGTACTATGGTATAGGTACAGTATATACTATGCAGTCCTCAGCTCTATTCAAAGGCCTAGAGTCTTTGATATAGTACCTTCAGTACAATTAACACTTTATAATTTGAGTGGTTGGTGAACTATGTGGTTGAAATAATAAAGGCTGAGAGAGGCCTGCTTTGTATCCCCTGCCCAAATCTCACCTGCTCCACACGTCCCTTGCGTAGTTCTAAGACGGCCAAGTTATTGTACGCTTCAGCGTGGTCATTGTTGTTCGCCAAAGCCAATTTAAAACACTGATAGGCTAGATTCAGATCTCCGATTCCCTGTTCAAAACAAGGATGACATCCTCAAAAATGGGTAAATTTCCAACTGTCAAACAATATTTCAGAACTCATTTATGTTCTGAGCAATGCTACTTATAATCTAATGGTTACATAGGTTTCTTGTAGAATTTGACCAATGACATGTTATTAAACAAAAGACTAATAGGTGTTCCAAAGTTTGTTCTTGCAAAAGACGATACATTTCCAGCTTAATTAACTCGCAAATGCGTCAGTATCAACTTAACAGCTGTTACAAAACATGTTGCCCTGCAGATATCCAGTACACGTCAGGACAAGGGGTGGATGCTAACGTGATGATGATTTTTATAAAAGAAAAATTAATTGCTGTGATTATTGATAAGACTTACTGTCTGATCTACAAAACAAGGTATGTATCAAAGTCTGAAAGCACAATATGAATTTGATAGAAAAATACATACAACTGCCACATGGCCCAGGTTGTACCAAACATCTGCCAATTCTTCATCATTTGCTACCAAGGAAAGAGCTCTTTCAAACGAGGTCAGAGTCATGTCATACTGCTGGGCATAAAAGCAGCAGAGTCCCAGGTTGTTGTAGAGCTGGCAGTTGTAAACTCCCATTTGCAGTAGTCGTCTGTTTCAGAAAAGAAAGGATGTGGTATATTTAAATTGTGCTAAGTGGCAAGCAGATCACATATTTCTTCTTTTGCAGTACTCTGCCAAACTCCTTCTCAGATTTATTAGTAGCCGAATGGCATTTGTGGTGATCTGATAGCACAAAATCCCAAATGCTTAATGAAAGCAGTCTGCCAAGTTTTTTTATGTGCTGTTTCATGGCTGATCTAACCAAAGGAAATGAGTAGCTGTCCACAAAGAGCAAAAGAGCAATTACACTTAAGATGGCAAAACACATCAATACCAAGAGGCAAGCTGTACTTCTTATGTCAAGATGTTTTAAGGGGGTGATTTTTCATCAGAACATAATGCAAGCATTAAGTAATTGGTAAGCCAGGCTCTGTGAATGATGGAAGGTGTGTGTATATACAGTAGCTGTGTGGTTCTTCCTGGGAAGCACCGTGCTCACCTGTAAAACCGCAGGGCAATCTCAGGCTGGTCTGTGTAGAAATGATTACTGCCGATACAAGCTATAGCTTCCACATGGGTATTGTCCTGCTTCAGAACTTCCTTATAATACTCTGTGGCTGAGGCAATATTGTTCATTTCCTGTTAAACAATGAAAACAGCAGTAGCAGCGCGTTCCTGATCAGATCATTCATTAGAGCATGCAGACAGGTTTTAAATGACAGTCATTACACATGCCTCGTGAATCCGAGCTATTCCCGTAAGAAGAGTGACCTCGCCAGGAAAGCGATCCAGACCTTGCTTGAAAAGGTTTAAAGCTGTTAAAGGCTGATCCAAACGTTGATAGACCTATTAAATAAATGCAAGGCATGCAATTAATATCTTGGTAACGATCAAAGTAAGCAAACAATTCAAGTGACAATCTTTGTTATTTTAAAAAATCCAAGCAAAACAAAGTCAGACTGACTTGGTTTCCTATACAATTCTTTCAAAAACTCAAGACAATTTAATTCTCAAGGATCAGTAGTATTATAACACCTGCTCTGAATAAGCAACTTTGAAAACAAAAGAGAAAAATGTATATTTGATTAATACTTCTTAGGGAATTGTTGCTGTATGCTACAAAAATGGAGAAACAGTGATTTTATGGGAGGGGTTCTTAGTCTCCAGTGGTACACTACCTTTGCTAAGTAGAGGAATGCATCAACCATTTCCTGTTGACTGAGAGCAGATTTGAACTGTTTCTCTGCTTCACGGTGCAGACCCAGCCTGTGAATACAGATCATTTTAGCTACCTCAATACATTAGCAGCACCTATAGGACTCAGTTACATTGTTACTGATTAAATACTGATCACAATAATTGTGTAAGAATAAACACATATTCAATTTTTCAGTTACAGCTTTATTTGTCATGTTTATGCTTTAAGAATTTGATAAATTTATAAATGTGATCCACTTTTTACCAGGACAATGTTGAAAAATAATGATAGGCTATTATTGAATGAAGGGCTCGGGCTCTGCTCGCCAAACCCCTAACCTTGAACTTGCAGAAGTGTAGCTCACTAACAAGCATGGGAAGGATGTACTATCAAGAGGCACATGAGATAGGCAGGAAAGAAAAGACAAGGAGAGTGTAATTGGGAAGTACAAGACAAGGTGCACTTGACTGGGTTCCTGGGATATGATAACGTACAGTAAAAACATCTGTTTGAATGAGTAGTTTTCTTGGAAAATGAACAAGCTTTGTGACGCAGATAAGATATCCTTCAGCAGCTGTCTGCTTCTGATTTTTGAGAATTGTTCCTGTGATGGAGGTTTCTGTTGCTGTACAATCTCCCTATCTGCACACTGGAAAAAAAGCTGACTCTGTTGAACTCGCTCTCTGAAGATTTTTATTTCTGGTTTGGATTCTATCATTGCAATTATAACCTCAATTTACAATACAGCTGTAAATGCGATTTTCAATTAACTATCAAGTACTGGGTTACTAAGTGATCTCCATCCTGGTATGTGATAGTCCCTTCTGACATAAGTAGCAATCTGAAGACTATACTTACCCTTGAAAAATGTATGTAAAATTTTACTTTGTTGCCTTTCTGCACCCATTTCTTCGCACAATTAACATGCTGACTCTGTACAATGTTCTGTGCAATACTCTCAATTTATAGAATTAACATAAAAGTCCACTGAATGAAGAAAATCAAACTCTAATATATCTCAATATAACACAATTATTTTCAATAAAGAAATCATGTATACATTATACTGTATGTTTAGTTTAAATGTCTAAAAAATAGTCAGTGTAGATAAAGTGTGCAGTGACTGGAGAAAGCAGAGTTACCTGTAGTAGCATTTTCCCAGTTGGACTTTCCACCACCAGTCTTTGAACTGAGCATGCTCAGTAGCAAGAGCTGCAAGATCTGTAGCCTGCCCCCCCAAAGACATAAGTAGATTACAACCTGTGTTTGAAGCCTGCTTCCAAAGGGCGCTTATACTCATTTATCTTAGTATTTCAAATAAATAAATATGTTATGATAGGAGACAATGTCCAGCACTTTCTAATCCTAGATCAAACATCATATCAATCTCAATACAAAAAAGCTCAACAATATCCGTATTTCTCAGGAATAGTATGTCGACACGCTTCCTGGGTTTGCTGAGAAGAGTCACGGCAGGGGTTTGCTTCCCAGTTATACTGTCGGTAAGTGCAGTGCTGAGGCCCTGAGGCTGTCAGGCTCGCTGCAAATGGAGAAGTGCGCACAGGCCTTCTGTGGACCAGAGCCCCTCTCACAAAACAACCTAAACTCAGAATTAGTTCACCAATGAGCATTTCATATGGAGCTGTGAAATACAGGAGCATCACGGTCAGTCGATCCTTCTGTTTTTTGTAATTTATCGCCCATTTATTTTTTCCTGACCATGTTTTGAGTAATTTGGAAAATTGAATTGCATAATTTCACAGCAACCTAGGGCACGTCTTGAACATCCCAGCTGTTCACTCTAGGAATTCATTTTTGCATTATGCCCCTGTTTTGGCAGCAACATTTATTTCTGTTTTCAAACCGTTCTCTAGTCCAAACGTGTGAAATAACAAGTACATTTTCAATCCAATTATCACAATTCGGTTCAACGGGAAAATCACATGATAAACACTGAGACATCAGTCTGGTTTTCTATATGTATAAATCGTTGTATATGTTTATAATTGTATATATGCTAAAGGTTTGAAAAGAAAACAATACTCACATTTTTTATATCATTTTCATTATGGAAGATATATTCAAACAAAGACTGCAGGAAAGAATATTCGATCAGTACAATAGCAAATACACCTTTTACGATGCTACCTCCAATATACAACCTAGCCTACCTGCACATGTGAAAATCACAACAAGAATGATGCTTGTCACAACATATTAGGGTGATATTGGTGCCTGATGACATGAGTGTAAAAGTGAACATACCTTTGATAAATTGGGCATCTGGGCATATTTTGACAGGTTTAATCTGGACATGTTTAGAAATGGGCCCTCAGGACTGGTAAGCATGGAAGCCTGAGGAAATGCAGCACAAATAGACACAGGCTTTTAAAATAGGAAGACAGTTACATACAGCACAATACAGAGCACACTCGTCCGCAATGCTTCAAATTTAAAACCCCTGATTCCTATTAAAGTTTTACTAAAATCATCTGAGCATTGCAACTGCTTAGAAACGAGGACTGCTTAGAAAATCCTAAGAATGCAATGCATTTCCATTTTCATGAATTTAAAATCAATAGTTTCTTCTACAGCTGCTTTTGGCAGAACCACAGTTTTCAATCATTTACATTGTATGGTACCTGTAAAGGTCTTTGACATTATATAATGAATGACTTGTCACAACTACAGTAGGTTTAAGTAGATCCGCGAAAACTCAACACTTGTAAAGGGCACCAAGTTGTGCTGGACCTTTTATTTGTCTGTACTAGCACTGAGCTCGTTAACATGCACACACACTCCTGCTGGCACACTTAAAGGCTGAGGAATGGATTTGTGTGAAGAAGCAGAGGAAAGGCCTACCGTTCCCAGCCTCACGTATCTTCCAGACGCGCTGGTGACAGGGCGAGCCGTGTGCCCGGTCCGGGGGGTTTTGATAGCCTGCTCCATTGTCCCGGGTCTGCCGGACTGTGTGCTGGGCCGAACAAACCCAGTAACGGGCCGCCCTGCATGAGTCATAGGCCTATAGAGACAAGCACCATGTGAAAATTTCCACACAGTAACCCACTCACATGAGGGAGAGTGAAGGTGAAGATGAACACTCCAGACCAGAACAGCATTGAAGGCAACCTGTTTCTTCACACATGATTAATGTGTTATTAATTATTAATGAACTATTTAATTGATTGATTGACTAGAATTTATACATTAAAGAATACCTGACAGATGGGGTTGGACCTCCTCCTTGACTTGTACCTGGAAGCTTTAATGATGTTCCAGGACCTGAAAATCAGACATTATTCTACTTGGGATTTGTAAACAATAAAACGTTGTTATGTTACGTGTTAAATAATACCATTTCTAAACAACACAATATTATTTCCCTTGCAGTAACGACCTGAACACTCCCATCAGAAACACCACACAGTAGGGAGAGCATTTGGCCATATTTTGACCTGCACAGTTAGTTTTCAAGCACTGAGAACTTTAAATACACTTAATTTTCTAAAGGTCTTTGAACTCACTCCCAGTGAAAAGGGATCTGAAAAAAGTAGAAATCATCAGTCAGACAAGCAATTACCATGCCTTAAGGATGGACTTCAGAGCCCAGCAGGTTGTTTTTAATGACTATTTTTAGTAGTTCTAAGTATAAAACCAAATGCATCAACTCTCAGATGAACAATTAGAGCTGCATTCGCAGCTCAACATGGGTGCATTCTTATCTCGCTAATCTCAGCATTTGATTTTTGCAAGGCCCTTTGAAGCTCTTTTTCTCCCCCGGTTCTCTCTCAGTGATCACACTAGACAACACGTACGTGCAACCTGAGCAATCGCGTTTTCGTCCAGCATTTCTGCTATTCCCTCATGGTCTACATCCACTTCGTCGATGTAAACCGTCTCTGTCAGAGCCCGCGTCTTCAGACTCCATGCAGCCTTGGATAGAGAGAAGAACAATAAGCACCCAGGAAATTCAAGTTTACCAACTGTTACTCCAGTTCAGCAATAAAATGACTGTGGTATTCTCTGTGTACCAGCAATTCCTCAGAAGCTCAGATACATGTAACACACAGTGCTTGAAGCACAAACTATAGGAGCAAGAACTAATATTGCTTTGAGATAGAGAGCAAGCACACATTAGAATTCCTGTGATGTATTTATTACAAACCTTGCAGAGAAACGTGAAAGCCTTTGTAGAGGACCTTTCAATCTTAACTGTACCATGGCCCACCCTAACTGCATACACGAATGAAAGATCCAAACCATAGCCCTCTCACAGGCTACAGGCTGACCCAGTTTTCACTTGTAAATTGATAGCATGCATGTTTCATGACACCGTATGACACCTAGTGAGGAGCAGGTGTAGCATTCCTGCTTGCGAAGGGTGATTATTTCATAGCCACTCCAGAGTTTGGGAGGAAATCCGATCCAACCGAAGTCACTGGCAAATGCCCGACGACAACACCATTTGTTTTACTTTCAGATCTGTGACAACACCGATGACTGATTTCTGTTATGGCGGCTCAAGAGGTATCTAGCCAAATGCCCTGCCGATGTCTTCTTATCTAAAAAGCTGGTGAAAGGTATACAGGCAGCTGCATAATAGGCTTTAAGTGTGAGCTCTCAGGAGTGGAGGTAAGGGGTCTGTTACACAGGAAAAGAACGAAATACCTGAGAGAGCGTGGTACTCATCGAATAGTGCAGGCAAGGCAATGACAACGACCTTTACTTCTGTGAATAATTGAACACAGAAGGGACAAGCTAGCAAGTCCCTAGACTGAAACTCTGGGAATATGAAAATTTCCATGCTGCTGATAGCATACTGGATTTCATGTGAGCATTTTTCTATGAGCATTCCCTTCTAGAGCACTGTGCTGTACTTTTTGTACAAACTCACAACCACAGATTAAGACAGACTAATATAACAAAGCATACATTATACAAATATATACATTTTTCCACATGCATCTTCAACAAGTAAGAAGGAAACAGTGGCTTTATTTAAAACACAGTCATCTGTGTTTTTGTTAAACCACTGGTATTTAATGGTATTTAACAATATTTAAACAATGAGATATACACTGAAATATCAAGGTAATTACATTATTACAGTAAATCATGTCTAATCTGTTCTCCTGCCAATTGTAAGAGGTGAACAAGGTCTGCTTGCCATCATAACTGCCTTATAAAAATTAAAATATTAAATGCTTCAAACACCATTTATAGTGATATAGTGGTATGATAATACAACAATGTAGAAAACGAGCAGTTACTGTAATAAGATATGATCACCAACAAGTCGGCTTGCTTGTAAAAAGTTAATGTAGGTTTCTGATTTCCTATACTGTACTTTGTGACAGAATGTCTCCTACTTTCCCAGAAACCGATCTGTGCTGAAAAGAAAAAAATCATTCTGCACTGCTCAGGTAACACATTATGAAATTTAAAAAAAAATATTCCATACACAAAAGTGTTTTTCTAATGATTCACATTGTATCTTGCTGTGCAGACAGCAAAGAGAAATAAAACAATGACACTAGAAGATATCATACTTAGTGTTCACAAGTATGACCTGCACCTCTCCAGAACACATATCGATGCTGAGCACAACCCATTTCAGCCTTTTCACTGGGCACATTATTGTTGCTGCCAATAACAGGAGCAATCTGAAAGGTGAGCTGCAACTTTGCATCTGAGGGTGTTTTAGGCTGGATGAGTAAAGCTCTTCTGACAGACACTGGCACGTATTGTCATGATGTATTGATTGTCCTTTTCCTTATTCTGTCTTCATCGTCTGTGTGACACTGGTTTACACTTCCTGGCCAGGTCATCTCTGTAAACGAATATCTGCTCTCTATTTGATTTATTAGATTAATTGAAGGATTAATACTACCAGAATATTTTACGTGCATACAATGCATTAAGCTTATAAAGCCTTGAAAACACAAAAAAAGACTCCTACAAAATCCTTCCAATCACCATGACCTGGCACAAACGAGAAAACAAAGGATAAGAAATAAGAATTGCAAGTGTGGTCAAAGGGAAGGAAACTAGTTACCTCTGAAGCAAGAGAAGTATTTTCAGCATCCTTCGTAAGCAATAGGAAGGAAATAATGACAGCAAAATGAAAGTATAGCCATGCAAGAAGATGAAGACTTCCTAACACATGCAAAACCAAAGATTATATAAGAAAGATGTGAAATGGGAAAGAGAAGCGATTACATTGTACATCCATCCATTTTCACTTCCGCTTTTCCTGGTGAGGGTCGCGTTGAAGCCGGAGACGACCCAGCAAGCAACGAGCGCAAGGCCAGTGTACACCCTGGACGGGGCGCCAGTCCATCGCAGGGCCAGTGCAAGCCAATCATACATGGGGACAATTTGGAGGCCACGGTAATGCCCTAGAGGGGAGATTTGCCCCGGACAAAGGGATAACTCCCCACTCTTCCCGAGAAATGCTCGGGGATCTTTAATGACCACTGAGAATCAGTACCTCGGTTTAACGTCTCATCCGAAATACGGGATTACTGTACATTGTACAGGAAACTGAAAATACCCAATCTGTGGATGGACAGCGTAAAACTATGCATAAAACAAAATATACTAAAAGGGTATTATTCCCCGTGTAAAGCTCATATATAAATATAGTAGTTATTATATGAAATAACATACATTTCAATACAATTCGTTAGTATTTAGACAGTACACATCCAGGCTTTCTGAATCTTTATACATAAATGCCACTAGTGTGCGAGTACACATTTACGACTTCGCTAAATTTCCATGTTTATATTTCAAATACAAAGTTTAGAGCATTGACATGGTCACAATTATAAACAACATTTGTCGATCTAGTGTCATGGGGAATGTCTGTCTTGCCTAGGCTGAGTCATAACCATGAATCATATCACATGAATTTATCAACACAACAAAGACAAATGAGGTTTTAAGACTGTCACATCCAAATCGGTAACTTACAAAAAATATGACATAGCGTCTATGTCACAGTAAAGCGTGTGACTGCGAGGAAATCATTTTTACTGTAAAATATGTACTATTAAACATCCCGAAAGGACTGACGTCGGCAAAATAATTAATGCATTCTGTGCGATTTCACCAGACTAATTTCTGTTTATTTCTCCGAGGCCTGATCATTACCGCTTTTAATTAGATAAAACACGTCCTTTCTATCCAGTATGTCGAAAACACTTCGTAAATTTTAAATTGTCCGTCGCAGTTTTTAGTAAAACGGTTCGGGGTAGAGTTTATATTGAACAGCTGGCGCTAAACCACAAATCCAATACAGCAGGATTACGAAGACTGAAATAATACCTGATCGAACGGATTTTCCTCCAGTATTTTAGAGCACACATCAGCACAGAGCTGGAATTTACGTCTCCTAAAATAGCTCCATGCTAAAAATAACGGATCCATATTGATGATAGTTTTCTGTTACTCAAAAGTGTATTAAACTTAAATCATATTAGCATCTACACATTCCCAAAGAGTTCCAAGCGCGACTACAGTAAACAGATCACGGCAGTAGCGTCCCGTCACTCCCAGCAACGGAGCACGGGGTCCTAATCGACCATGGGGGTCCAGAAATATGCCTGATAGCAGGGATGCTACAAACCGAAACGCCCGCCCTTTACCAGAGAAATATTCACATGGACACCGTGTATTCTCTAATACCGAGTTTTTAAAATGTGCTCTGTCGATATTTCCTTTGCCTTGGCGAACATGGAAATATCATTTTTGAGGAGGGCCAGCGAAAAGCGTCTCTTTCTTCTCTCAGCAGAAGTTAAACCCTTAATCCTCTTTTTAAAATAAATTCGGGTTTATACGCGAATAATTGCGCTTGTGTGTTGTGACGTGTATGTTTGTCATTGTGGTTGTCATTCTTTACCTGTAACTTGCATTTATGATTTATATTCACCCTTTCTTGTAGCAAAAAGAAAATACTTGACACATTTAGGCTGTATTTGCCATATCAAACGCTTAAGAATCAGGATTGAGTTGTAACATTTTTCTGTATATAATAATGAAATTGCCCCGGTGCTGAATGCGTTTTGTAGTATGAGTCTCCTAAATTGAGAGGGGGAAGAGACACACTTATTCTATTCGGCGGGTTTAATGCATAATCATTGTGAAATGTTTTGGAAAAGTTCGTTATTGTATGTTGTCAGGGACTGCACAGAACTGCAAGTTGTGCAAGTCTACAGACTGGGTTCGGAGTCTCTAGCAAGTCTGGTGAGGGCAGTGATTTTACGATGCAGTCATATCTGTAACTAGTGTACAACAGAGACAGGGCGCCTTGCGTGTCGCTGATTAAAGCAGGATTTAAACGCACTCGTGTAAGTGGCTAAGCTTTCGAATAAGTTGCAATAACGCCGAAGACTACAGAAAATTGGAACTAGAGCTTATATATCCCGGCAGCGGGGGATGTCTCCTAAGGCACTCTTGGTATAGCCCATAGTTATTTTAGCCATACCACGGCGACCAGCGTATCAGCATTTACCTTTTCGCCAAATGTCGTTATTAAAAAGTTCACATGTCACCGAATTATCACCGCAGGAGGCAATTAGTCTAACACGACTGCGGCGGGGCGGGTAAATAGAGACAGACGTGTGGAAAACATCAGCAACACGTCCTTAGCAACAGCCGTTACTACGTGCCTGTGTGTGCCGCCTCCAGGTAACATTTGCTAGCACGAACGAGGGGCGTAAAATGCAACAACAGTAGCAACTGACACGGTTTATAGACACTGATTAATCGATTGCTAGTATCTAGGGGGGGGGAATGAAGACATTTAGAGCATACGGCAGGGTTATATAATCTGGCTGTCGTTCCTAGCCTACATACAGAGACATCCACAGAAGGTACCATCCCTTTGGCATCAATTGAAAGGGTTCACAGCCTCCCGTCCGCTCCCTATTGGAGAAAGACGAAGACGAAGGGGGGGCGTTAGGCCCCGCCTCTGATGGGCTGCTATTGGTCAGTCGACCTTCCCTTATTTGCCTCGCGGTTCTCTGAGGACTTGATTGGACAGTTCGTTAATCGGTCAGCGGTTAAGATGGATTTGTGGGCGGTGCTGGAAACTAATGCGAAAACCCCATGTTTATAGGATTTGACAGGAGCTGGAGTCTGCCTTGAGCTCAGCTGCTCACACAGGTTTGGAGTGGTCGGGGAGTGCGCCTGGGCTGTACTATTAGAGAAGTGTTTAGGTATTCTAAAGCACCCCCTACCCAAAATAAAAAAAAGATGCAGTGATGACAGTGTATTTGAAAATATAAACCGCACCTTAAACTGATTTAAATAGTGTTTTATTCCGGATTAAATGTCGTTTTATAAAGTGCAAAAGTGCAGGTGCACCAGCATCAGCAGGGAAGGGTCAGAGTAAGGACTTGGGAGTGTGTTAAATGAAAAAATAAGTTCTTGCGTCAGAGAGATTTAAAAAAAAAAAGAAATAATTCACCAGGACATGGGAGACAGAACAGCTCCAAATGGTCACCTCCGGCTGGAATGGGTCTACGGCTACCGAGGACACCAGTGCCGCAACAACCTGTACTACACGGCGGCGAAGGAAATTGTCTATTTCGTCGCCGGAGTGGGGGTAGTTTATAACACAAGGGAACACAAGCAAAAATTTTATTTGGGACACAACGATGACATAATCAGGTAAGCCTCGTTCGAGATTTTTTTTTTAAAAAAGAATTCTTATGCCTCTGCCGTGTATAACTGGAAAAGGAAAACAAAATACTGCCCGCAATCACTATCCTTCTTTTATTGAGATACACCGGGGAAAAGCAAGGTTGCCCACCTTTACTGTAACTACGTATGTAGGTGTTTGCGTTGTAAGCTAATCAGATACTTGATAATTATTTTTTAACCCCGTTAACCGGGGGGAAAGTAATAATCAATTCCGCAAATATAAAACAAAAACGCCGAGGGTTAATCTTAGACGGTATACAAATTCTTAGTTAACCTTCATGAAGTACAGAAGCCTTCCTTTGTGGAAAAAATATAATTAAATAAGGCCTTGCTCCCTGCGTCTGGATGTTAGTTGTCCGTGTTCGCTTCTGCCCAAAAGTACTGTACGTTCTTCAAAAGCCCACGTCTGTTCATTCTTAAGAAAGCTTTCTGTAGCAACTTCCTATCACTTTACCAAGACGACGTTATTGTGAAACTACAATAAACAGTTTTAATGCGATGACCGTTACAAACCTGTGTTCATCTAATCTCATCATCTGCGTTTGCTTTATTTAAATAAGCGTCGACACATGACTGCTTTTAGAATAACAGGCCGTTACAGTATCAGAAGGCAGATAAGGTATCACATTCGAAAAACATTTCACACTTGTTTTCTCCTCTATGTCTCTGATGGCTTTGCCGTGTTCTTCCGCTATGATGGCTTTATGGTGGTGTCTTGACGGTAATTTAGCAATGTGAACCTAGACATGATGTACAGTTAATGCTATACATTATTAACATGAGATGGAGATGGAGATGGATTGGGCAGATCTGCGAACACGGTTGCTGACATGAATATGTTCTCTTGCTCCCGGTACCGCAGGTAAAATGATCGTTTTCAAAGATCCGTGTTGTAACACACTGAGGACTGCTTCGCATATTTAAGGGGTCAGAGTCAAACTGCTCATCAGTCGGTAGTCGTTGTAGTTAAGAAGAGGGAGCGTGTTTTCTGGGACGCAAAGAATATGGTGTGTAATTTACTCAGAGTCCTTGAAAGTGCCCTGCACACCCTCTGTTTGTGTGGGTTCTGTGGTGGGTTTAATGTGGGGTTTGGGTGCGCGCTGTGTACGTGAAAGTGAGAGTGCCCGGCGCGCGAGTGTCACACAGAGGCCCGAGACCGGACTCTGAGCTGTAGACTGCCGCACGTGCGGCTCTGGAGGAGCGGGCGGGCGGGGGGGGCAGCGCGCTCGCGGTCAGCGCTGCCGGCGACAGCAGCACCAAACCGTGTCATCCAGATTCCCTGTGCCGTTCGCGTGCGCTTGTGTGCCCGTGCGCATGTTGTTCTCTTGCACGCTTTTTTTTAAAGTATAATGTGGTGCACGCTTGTGTAAATTCTGCAAGATCACCATGCAACTTGGCATTTGGAATTAGAGAAGTCTGTGCCCATTATCTTGGACGCAAGTCATTTCCATTGGATAGACATGGTGCTTGGCAGTCATTTTCAGGGCGGCCCCGTGAAAGAGTGGGGTTGATACTGTCATGTTGGACACAACTGCAATGCCACGTATTGAGTAGCAACCACTGCATGGCTGTGGTGAGCTTGGCTCCTCCTGTCCAGTGTTATTCCCACAGAAGATGACTAGGACACAGTCCTATAGCACACCCCGTCCTCCTGGGCTGGACTCCAATTTCAAATGTGTATTTTGTTTACCTCCGTAATTCGTGTTAAGACTTTAACAGGTCAAAGGATGTCCGTTTTATGGTACCAGAAAAAGCTGCAGCACCTTGGAAACTGGGAAGGATGCTCAGACAAATTTAATTTCTTGTAATCGCATTATTGGTTACATGGCCCATAATTCATTATATTTAACACAATCCCCTTGATTTATGAATGACTTAGGAATAATAAAGAGCTAATCTTGTTTTGCCTTTCCTATTTCTAAAAGAGTTAGGCCTAATTTATGGCTACTGTATGAAGGAACATGCCTTTCAATAACAACCATTTAATGTTGTTTTTCCGTACAAAGACCAGAACTGCAGTAATAGGGAACAGATCAATTGCCATCCTGCCTTGAAAGATAAAACACAGCCCTTTTCAATGCTAGCAGCACTTCTGCAGGCTGTGGAAAACAGACTTGAAAAGGCAGAACAGTGTGATTAGTGAGGCCTGTCCAGCCTGGAGTTAATTGTGGTGCACAGTCCTGTAATTGTCTGGACTGCAAGATTAAAAGAAGGCCCAATAAATATGGAAATTGGGTTGAATGTATACAGCGTGAATCCAAAAAGGCCCTGTGTAATTTTGCATGTTGTGAGGTGTAATTTTGGGCTTTTTTTTTTACAAAAGCTTTACCTTGTCTCAAGTATATTAATTCAAACACTGAAGTGCTTTTAAATACATAGGTAAGTTTAAGGTACATATTCAGCATTTATTTTGGAAAATTAATGTGACCCTCTTGGGATGGAAAGTAAGCAAGGAATGCTAATTATTTTAGAATAGGACCAGACTGACTAGAAGTGCTTAACCAGAATGCCATTGTTTTTTCTACAATTCAGCATTGCAAGTCATTTTGTATCCTGCTGTGTACCCACACAGCCTGGGATCCGGTGTGTCTCCACATCTGGGCTCGCAGGATAATAATAATAATAATAATA